CAGATAATTTCTTTCTATTTTTAGTAGAGATGGGGTCTCCCTCTTGCTCAGGCTGGTCTCGAACTCCTGACCTTGAGCGATCCGCCCACCTCGGCCTCCCAGAGTGCTAGGATTATAGGCGTGAGCAACCGTGCCTGGCCTATAACTAATATTTTTATAAGATCAAGTCAAATTAAAGTGGTTACTTTTATGAATCTGAATGTGAACTTCAGGACATGTAATTTTTGAGCATTTATTTGTAGTGAGAAAAATTAGTTTATTAATGCAATAAATAATTAGCATCGATGGTAAGAAAAAAATAGGCTCCTTTTATTTTTTTCTCTTTTTTCTAAAAATCATTGGCAGATGTCACATGAGGAACTTTTTAATGAAGTGATTTGGTGACTTAGTATTAATTAGTTTAATTTTATCTTTACTGAAATATGAATTCCTCTTTCATTAACTGTAATAACCCAAAATATCCAGAGTTGGACATGCAGCTAAATCTAAAAACATACACACACACACACACACACACACACACACAGACACACATACACACACTTGTTTCTACCTGCTTGTTCTGTCCTTACTATTTAAGTACAAAGTTTAGGCAATGTAGTTAACTTGTCCAAATAATAAACATGAAAGGGTTACTTTTCCCAAAGAATTTATTAATTCAAGAGATAATACAAGCTAACCTCATATAGGTACAAGCGAATGTCATATAGGTACAATGATATCATTAAATTAATGGATTTTTAATCTATAATGGATTATTGTAGAATATGGCTCTTATTTTAAGTATGTTTCACATGAAGTCAATTTTTCCCATAAAAATTTTGTAGTCTAATGATTTATTAGTATGAGAAACTCTGAGGAAGCTACACAAAGCTTTGAGATAAAAATGGAATGGTTTACTGTAATCAGTTTTTTAATATAGGAAGTAACTTTATTTAACAAGGGGGTATTTCATGGCATAAATTGTAAATTTTTCATAAATTTCAGCATAAAAATAAAGCTTTAAATAAATTTTATGTTTGTAATGCATAGCTTTGGGCATATAAATATATAAATATGTTTTGGCCATTAGAGTTCCTCTTGTAAAATAAATGTTAGAAGTACTGTCCTCTATCAGAGATAGAAACCTGGATTAGATTCACCATTGTTTGATTGGAATAATTTGTTTCAAACTAGTATATTCTGAAAGACAATAGTAAATTGAGAGAATACTTTCAGAGCAAAGTCTTTTCTATTGCTTAGAGTATCATAGTGATAAAAAAAAATTCTATGGAAGAGAACTAAGGATTTTAAGCCAAATGATAGTTTATTTCATATATATTTAGCTGAAAGACTTTTTAAAAATTCAAAAGCTAATATTATATTTCTGAAAATCCAGCAAAGATTGGCATCGGGAGTTGTTAGAAATTAGTTAAATTGTATGCATTTGGTATTTAAAATATGCCTCTAGACTTGCTCTTCTTAAGGTTAAAACCTTTTCAAAGTTAAAATGGATCCTGGCATTACTGTGTAGAGGTTGATTATAAATACAGTGTAGAATTAGGTAGAATTTGAAGAAGTCTTCTCTTTGAACTTCCCTGTGGAAAAGGAGTCTCAGAGAAATGATTGGTTGGTTTTGGTTTCATTTAATTGCTGTCGAATAATTTTTTAAAACTTTCTTTATAGACTGTATTAGAGTTGGACAGAATGGAAATGTCTATGGATGCGGTAAATACACTCTCTTTTGTTTATATTGAAAAGAATATTTAAAAATTGGCAGAAACTTGCCACTAATGTTTCACAATTTCATTTTAAACAGTTTCAGAAAAAGTTTTATGAAAAGGATTTGTTAGATCAAGAGAAAGAAAGAGAAGAACTACTTCTTTTGGAAATGGTATGTTGTTTTCACTCTCATACACATGCTCTCTTTTCTGACCAATATTAACTGTTTTGTTATTAAACTTCAAAAGTAATTTATTTCAATTTCACACTACTTCTTTTTTCCTAAAACACCACTTTTTTTTCCCTCTTTGACTAAAGAAGAGTCCTAATTTTCTGAAATATGTTTTTTTATCAACCAGAAGGAAAACTATATTTGAGAGCCTTTTAAAAAAACTGCTTTATTGAAGTATAATTGACAAACAACTGCGTATATTTAAAGTGCACAATTTGATGAGTTTTGACATGTGGACATGTCCAAGAAACCATCCCCACAATCAGAATATGAAACATTTTCATTCCACCAAGTTTCTGTATGCCCCTTTGTAATCCATGTCTTCTTCTACTCCAGTCCCCAGCAACTTCTGATGTAGTTTCTGTCACTATAGATAAGTTTGCATTTTCTAGTAGAATTATTTAAATGGAATCATATATTATGTACTTTTTTTGGTCATGCTTCTTTCCATTAATGTAATTATTTTAAGATTCATCCATATTGTTGTATGTATCAGTAGGTCATTCCTTTTTATTTCTTAGTAGGATTCCATATTATAGATATACCACAATTTATTTATCCATTCACCTCTTAATGAGCATTTGGGTTACTTTTAGTTTTGGGACATTACAAATAAAGTTGCTGTGAACATTAGGGAAGTTAGCCTTCAAGAACGTTAGTCTTTGGGTAGACATATATTTTCATTTCTCTTGGGTAAATATTTAGGAATAGAGTGACTGGATTATATGGTATGCTTAACTTAAAAACAAACAAAAAGTGTTTTCCAAAGTGGTTGTAGCATTTTTCGTGCCCATTGGCTGCCGTGGAAAGCTTTAGTTATTCCATATCCTCTGTAATGCTTGATATGGTTAGTGTTTTAAATTTTGGCCATACAGTGGGTATGTAATGGCATGTCATAGTTTTTTTTAATTGCATATCCCTGATGCCTAAATACATTGAGCATCTTTTCATTTGCTTATTGGCCATCTTTATCTCTTATTTGATGAAGTCTGTTATCAGAATTTAAAGTGGGTTATTTTATTACTATTGAAATGTAAGCATTTTTAATACATTCTGAATATAACTCCTTTGTCAGATATACATATTAGTATTTTCTTGGAGTTTCTGGCTTATCTTTTATTTATTGCATAAGTCCAGTTTATCAATTTTTTCTCTTATATTTTTTTGTTCTAAGAATCCTTTGTGTATACCAAGATCACAGACTTTTTCCAGTGTTTTCTTCTAGAAATTTTAGTTGTAGGTTTTACATTTAGGTCTATGATTCATTTCAAGTTAATTTTTATATATGTTTATTTTTTTTTCCATCTGGATATCCAGCTTTTTTAGCACCATTTAAGAAACTTTCCTTTCTCCCTTGAATTGCCTTAGCACCTTTTAAAAATATCAATTGTTCATATACATATGTGTCTATTTCTTGATTCCCTATTCTGTTCCACTGATATATATGTTTATCTTTTTGGCAATACCAAACTGTCTTGATCACTGAAACCAGGTAGGGTAAGTTCTCCAACAATGTTTCTTTTTAAAATTGCTTTGGCCAGTCTAGGACCTTCGCATTTTGATATGAAGTTTAGAATCAGTTTGTCAATTTCTGTTAAAAGCCTGCTGATATTTTAGTTAGGATTGATCCATACATCAATTTGGAGAATTGCCATCTTAACAATACTGAATCATCTAGTCCATGAATAGTATCCACCATTCTATTTATTTAGCCTTCTTTTCTCTCAGTAATTTTGATAGCATTCAATATAGAGCTTAAGGAAGTCTATGCTGGATTTATGATTAGGTATTTTATGTTTTTTTGGCATTATTGTAAGTGGAATTATAATTTTTAAATTTCTCTTTTCAGTTTTTTGTTGCCATGGTAGAATATTATTGATTTTTGTGTATTAACTTTGTACTTGCTAAATTTGTTTATTTGTTTTAGAAGTTGTTTTTTAGATTTTCTAAAACTGGGATTTTCTATGTAAGCCATCATATCTTCTTTAAATATTCAATATTATGCCTTTTAGGACCTCCAGTATAATTAAAGACCTCCAGCTGAATAAAAGTGGGATAAGTGGGCATCCTTTTCTTTTTACTGATCTTAGAGAGAAACAGTTGAATCTTTCATTGTTAGGTCTTATGGTAGCAGCAGGTTTTATGTTGGTGCCTTTTATCAGATTGAGGAGGTTCCCTTTTACTCCTAATTTGCTGAGAGTTTTTATGAATGGTTGTTGCATTTTGTCATATATAGAAATGATATTTGGTTTTTCTCCTTCATTCTGTTAATACCCTGAATTACATTGATTTTTCAAATAGTAAACCAGTCTTGTATTTTGGAGATAAACCCTACTTGATGATGATATATTATCCTTTTTCTCTATTGTTAGATTCTTGGCTAATGTTTTTGTTAAGGAATTTTGCATTTGTATTCATAGATTCATAGGGAAATTGGTCTTTAATTTTCTTTTTTATCATTTTTGGGTCAGATTTGGTATTAGAGTTATTCTGGCCTCATAAAACAAGATGAGTAGTGTTCCCACTCCTCTATTTTATGAAAAAGTGTCTATAAAATTGGTTTTATTTCTTCCTTGAGTATTTGACAGAATTCACTAGTGAAACTATCTAGGTTTAGAGTTTTTATTTGGGAAAGGATTTTGGTAATTGATGTAATTCTTTACTAGATAAAAAACTATTTAGATTTTTCTAATTCTTCTTTTGTCAGTTTTGGTAAGTTGCTTTTTTTTTCCCTCATGTCTTCTAAGCTGTCAAATTTGTTGGTAGCAAAAAGTTGTTTATAATATAATCATATTAACCTTTTAATATATGGTGATAATCTATGGTGCTAACCCCTGTTTCACTCTTATATTAGTGAATTATGTTGTCCTCTCTTTTTTTTTAATTTTTTGGTGGTTTCTCTAGAGATTACAATATATATATCTAACCTTTCACTGTATACTTATTGTTAATATAGTACCACTTCACTTAACAATGGTCACTTTACCCACTCCACACCATTCTTTATGTTACGGTTGTCATGAATTACATATTCATTGAGGACCCCACCAGACAGTGTTATAATTTTTGCTTTAAATTGTCATGTATGTCGTGAGGAATTTAAGAGAGTAAACTTTTCTGTTTGCTCAGATGTTTACTGTTTCCAATGCTCTTCATTCATTGCTTAGGATTCAAATTTCCCTCTAGTATTTTTTCCCTTTCAGCCTGAAGAATTTTGTTTTGCAGATCTTGTGTCACAGGTCTTCTGGTGACAATTTCTCTTGTTTTCCTTTATCTAAAATGTCTTATTTTTACCCTCATTCCTGAAAAATATTTTCATTGGGTATAGAATTCTTCTTTTGTTAGTTTTGGTGAATTATCTTTTTCTTTCTGCATTTTAAGATGTGCTTCTGTCTGTCTGCTGGCCTCATAACATCTGATAAAATATCTGCTCTCATTTGAATTGCTGTTCTTCTGTAGATAATGTTTTTATGTGGCCACTTCCAAGATTTTTTCTTTTATCTGTGTTTTTGGCAGTTTGCTTTTGATGTGGCTAGGCATGATTTGCTTTGAATTTATCCTGTTTTGAATTTGCTTATCCTACTGAATCTGTAGTGTGTATCACTCTGCAATTTGGGAAAATTTGGGCCATTATTTCTTTAAATATATGTTTTGTTCCAATTTCTCTGTCTTATTTTTGGGTCTCCAATTACATATATGTTAGATCTTTTAGTATTGTCCCACGGGTCCAGGAGGCTTTGTTGCTCTAAATTTTTTTTTTTGAACTCTGCTGCTCAGTGTGAGTAATTTGTTGGTCTGTCTTCAGTGTCATCAACTTTTCCCCTGTCTTCTTCATTAGGCTGCTTAGCCTATCTAGTGATTTTTTTTTTATTTCCAATATTTTTCACTTCAAAAATTTACATTTCTTTAATATTTTATATTTCTCTACTGAGAATTCATGTGCTATGAGATTAAAAACTTAAGTGGAAATCCTCTGAAAAGCAAAGTACATTATTTCGGCAGTCTTCCAAGACAGAGATTAGAGTTCAAGATTGCCAGTTGTAGAAGCTGTAGTGAATAAGGAGGTGCTAGAAAAATTTTAGTATGAAATGACCTAAGCCCAAGACAAAAACAGACAATATGAAAAGACCCACAGCTGATCCTGATATTGGAGTTAGCAGACAAGGACTTAAAGATAACTGTGATTAATATGATCAAGATAATACAGGGAAAGATGGAGAAAACAGATAATTCTGTTAAGCCCACCTAATGATATTTTTAAGTTTTATGTGGGTTCTGTTTTAGAATTTCCATTCGCTTCTTTTTTATGTGGTCCAGTTCTATGTGGAAATTCTTTTCCTTATTGATTTTCTCCGTCCTGGTCTTTATTTTACATGTGCACTTGAAAAGAATGTATGTTCTCCACTTGTTGAATGTAGTGTTCTATGCATGTCAGTTATGCCAAGTTTGTTCAGAACATCATGTGTTCATTGATTCTTTTGCCTATTTGTTCAACTGCAAGAAGGGGCTTCCAAGTTTTGGTAATGTTTTGTTTCTTGATATTGGAGCTGGTTATACAGGTGTATTTACTTTGGGAAAATTCAGTGAGCTGTACATTTATAATTTGTCTACTTTTTCTCTGTGTATTATACTTCAATAAAGCATTTAAAAATATCTAAGAGACCATTTCTTTTTCTCTAAATCTTTTTAAAGAAAAATGTCATTTTGCCATTTACCAATCAGAAATTGAAATGACTAATAGTAACAAGTGTTTTGCTAATGAGAATTGGTAAATACCTTCTAGAAAATAAAGGCTCACTATAACAATAATACCAGACTCATTGTTTTAGCTTGACAGACCCCCAAGGGCATAATTCTGTAAATGTTAAAAGAGACAAATCTAAAAGCCCTGAATTCTTTAGATACTAATATGGAAAAAAAACACTTAGACATTTTTATGAACCTTTATTTGTATCTCTAAAGCTTAATTTCTCAGAACAATTTTTCTAAATCTATTAAGTTGTATCTTTAATTCTAAGATACTGTTTTAATAACAGGAACAGTTAGAGAAGGAGAAGCAACACAATGATGGAAGGCCCATGAGTGATAAAATTTTTGAAAAGAAACGTAAGTAGTTTTTCTATGTCTTCACCATTCAGTTACATAATTATGTTACATCCTGGTATTCTGAAAGACCATGCAGACTTTTTAATGTGATATGGAAAATTGCTTCACTTTCTTTCATTTTTCAAAATTTGTTAAAATTGGCTGTTTAATGTGGTACAGATGTTAGAAATACATGAATAAAAGATGGGAACCAGTGTGGAGGTTCAGATTCTTTAAAAGGAAAGCTTGAAGTTTGATTACAGCTGTTAGATTATGAAATTGATCACTGAATAACAAAGATTGAAATATGTAAATATATAAAGTAAGAATATTTGGAAAAGACAACTGCTCAGCTAGGGATAGTGATTCATATTCTCTATATTGTCTTATGTATTTATGGAGATTAATAAGGTCTCAGAGGAAACTATAGAACTTAAAACAGAGATTTTTTTAGGTAGAGACAGTAAGACACCAACGCAAAGTCTGCCCAAGAGCATCCCCATTTCTGTTCCTGGACCCTCGTCTGTCTCTCCATCAACAAGTAAGAAAGAACTTCTTTTTATGTGTCTTTTATACATTTTTTTCCTTTTATAAAAATTAATTACAGGCAAAGTCACTCTATAAGATGAGATATATTATTCTAAAACAACTTTGGCCTTCTATCATTAGTTGTTTCGGTAGTTATTAATGGGAAGTATGGGTACTACTAGAGATACTCCCATCAGCTCAAACTAAGAAAAGAATGCTAGGCCCATCTGTGTTTTATGAAAATGATGGTAGTTCAGGAGGGAATGGGAATTGGGGCAGCTAAGGATGAACTGGATGCATTTTCCTTTTTTTCTGTTTATTACTCTAGGCAAAGAAATCAAGAAATCCAAATTGATTCGAAGCCAGTCTTTTAATAATCAAGCTTTTCATGCAAAATATGGCAACTTAGAGAAGTGTGCTAGGTACGATCTGTCAGCTATTCACTTTTTAACATAATTTTTAATTTTATAGCCATACATCTTTACATATGTGAAATAGTTACATTATTATAAAAATAATTAATTTTGAGCTTTTTATAGGCCAATAATTTGTCAGTTTTCTTCTGTAATTATTATTAAAAAATAATTGAAGTCTCCCAATTTGCATAAAAATAGGTATCCTGGCATTCAGGGAAGAACACTGACATGACACTATTTAATAACATCACAGAATCCATGTATCATTTTATGAAGAAAATGGTGGTGCTGTATCACATATGCCACTTAACTTTTAAATGGGTACGAGTATGCCCCATTTGCTATTTATGTTGTTTGTGTCTATAAAGAAGCCAGTGGCATGTTCATATGGTAAACTGATCACAACAGAGTTCTCCTGACAATAGATGAATGTCTGGTTTTCCCTTTAACCCGGGAGACAAAACTATAAATGGTTAGGATTAGGAGAGAATCACATAAATTAAATTACCATGATTAAAACAGCCCAAGAGTTAGATGATGGAGATTGTAAGAAGCATATTCTTGTATTTTAAACTAAATCATGTTCTCTTCTAGTAAAAGTTCTACAGCAGGATATACACCTTCTGTCTCAGGGTTAACAAAGACTTCTGTGCTTTCACTAACTGGTAAGTAGCAATATAAGCTTATCAAAAAATTGCTAAATTTAATAAAATATGATTTTCTTTAATTGATCTATTTCTTTATTTCTAGATACAGTATTTTTCCTACATTTACATCTTTATCAGATCCCAAAGAAATTAAACTTTTCCCTAGCAATTGAGAAATACTTGACTATGCTATTTTGTTTTCACTGTGTCAAGACCCAGAGTTTAATACTTCTCAAAGAGAAAAAGGACAAAAAGATAGGATAAGTTTTACCATAGCCTGAGGGCCAACTGAATCATAGATGAAAAGTTTCACAGTAATTTTTAAGTATGTTAAAATGTTAGGACTTCACTGGAAATCATGTACAGCTAAACACTTATGGTATTATGTATTTGAAAATTTGTACTGGGGACAGCAAACTTCTGTGAAGGGCCATATAGTAAATATTTTAGGCTTTGTTGGTCAAATTGGTCTTTGTCACAGTTACATAACTTTGCTGTAGTAGAGTAAAAGCACCCATAGTCAGCACACAGTGAATAGATACGGCTGTGTTCTAATAAAACAATGTGTTACAAGACAGGGAGTGGGCAAGATTTGGCCCATAGGCTGTGGTTTGCTGACCTCTAGTTTATATAATAGAACATAGAATTATACTATGAATAAGGTGGAATATATGGCTAAAGACTACTAGTGGCTAAATGTGTATTTTTAACTTTCTGCCTTAGAAATAATTGGTTGAAAATTGTAATGGTAATTTTTTTTAGTGTAAATAGTGAATCTTCTCAAAGATCTGCAGTTTTAAGAGCTTAGGTACAATTCCATTTTAGGTTACATTTTGAATATTCTGTCTTCCTCTTACCTCTTGTTATGTTTTTTAAATTCTCATGAAGAATATATGTCTTCTTTGGCTGTTCTGTGAAAAGTGTTTCCATTGGGCAGAAGAGAACATCTTTCTAACATTAAAGCACTGACATTCATATATGGTGATATAGGGTGATTTTACAAGGTAGACTATGATTATCATAAGAAATGATTTGAGGCTGGGCATGGTGGCTCATGCTTGTAATCCCAGCACTTTGAGAGGCCAACATGGGGGGATTGCTTAAGGCCAGGAATTCAAGACCAGCCTGAGCAACATAGTGAGACACTATCTCTACAGAAATTAAAAATAAAAAATTTAGCCAGGCATAGTGGCGTGTGCCTATAGTCCCAGCTACTCGGGAGGACAAGGCAGGAGGATTGCTCGAGCCCAGGAATTTGAGGTTGCAGTGAGCTATGATGATGCCATTGTACTCCAGCTTGGACGCTGTCTCAAAAAGAAAAAAAAATAATTTGGTAACAACGGGAAGTTGTTGAACTAAAATTGTCACCATATTTTCAATTTGGGGCTATAAATAATAAAACTTGATTATTTTTATCTCAGCAAAGCAGTGAGTCCTTTAGGGGAGGTACTGAGGAACATTCAGGGTTTAAGAACTTTATGTACAATGTAGAGTGCCTTTAAAAATTGTAAATGTGGGCCAGGCACGGTGGCTTACACCTGTAATCCTAGCACTCTGGGAGGCCGAGGCAGGCGGATTGTTTGAGCTCAGGAGTTCGAGACCAGCCTGAGCAAGAGCGAGACCCCGTCTCTACTAAAATTAGAAAGAAATTAATCAGACAACTAAAAATATACAGAAAAAATTAGCCGGGCATGGTGGCACATGCCTATAATCCCAGCTACTCGGGAGGCTGAGGCAGGAGGATTGCTTGAGCCCAGGAGTTTGAGGTTGCTGTGAGCTAGGCTGACGCCACAGCACTCACTCTAGCCCAGGCAAAAGAGTGAGACTCTGTCTCAAAAAAAAAAAAAAAAAATTGTAAATGTATATGGAAAACCAGTTTGAATTAACTCAACTTGGAGTTAATAGTGCAAATGGTTGTAGATGTCCATAAGGGCTTCTTCAGACTTAAGTGGAGCTCACCTGTCCTCTTGGTGATTCCTTCACTCACTTATAAATAAGCATATTTATTCATGAACTTGTAATAGTTTCTGTCAAGAAATTTCTTTGCCTAAATCATTAAGGATATTGATTTAGGTCTGGGCATGATGGCTCACACCTGTAATTCCCACTTTGGGAGGCCGAGGCTTAAGTCCAGGAGTTCAGGACCAGCCTGGGTAACATAGTGAGACCCTGTCTCTACAAAAAATAAAAAATATTGGCCAGGTGTAGTGGCGTTCGCCTGTAGTCTCAGCTACTCCAACCTGGGTGACAGAGTGAGAGTCTCTGGACAAGCTCTCAAATACATAAATATGTATACATACTGATTCAGAACTGTTTTTAAAAAGTTTTAATTATGGGCCGGGCGCGGTGGCTCACGCCTGTAATCCTAGCACTCTGGGAGGCCGAGG